TTGAAGATAGCACCTTGTTTAATGTTATATCTTGCTAGGTAATATTCAAATTACCAGTGGTATGACGATTGGTCAAAATTGTACACTAAACTGCTACACCAACTCTCCCAGTTCAATTATTAATATATGTCGGGAAATCGCATCGTACGAATTCTTATATTTTATTCAAGTTCCTTTTATAATTTTCTTGTAGGTTAGTGAAGTAAAATTAATAACGAAAAGTTTTCATATCCACTACTAACTATATATTTATTTAATTCCTCAGACATCTATATATATTTATATATGGAGATAAAAAAAGATTTTTATAATGGAATATGATATAACATATAGAATAACTCGGAAGAACTGACCATATTTAGTGGTTGAGCCGTCCATAGTAGCTCGAGTGACTTGAGCTGGAGTAACCGAGTGAGCTGTCACTTACACAGCTCGGGAAAGTTGATCTACAGTAGCTCGGGTGAGCTATCTGAGAGAATTCTCTAGTAGCAACTAGTAACCGGGCGTGATGATGGCCTCTTGGTAGCTCGGACATGATGATGACATCTTGGTAACTCGTTATTTTGATGATCTAAGAACAATTGTATGTCGGTGGACTTAATGGTAGTAGGTATGTAGAGACCTGTAGGTAGTAGGTTTGTGGACCTACTAATGTATATAAGAGACCTAAAATGTTAAGTAGGTAGATTGATCAACTGATAGTATGTGTATGAAAGAAACTTGTATGCAATAGGTTGGTGGACCTAGGGGTAATGTATCTAACGGACCTACAAGGACAAGTTGGTTGGTTGACCTACTGATAGTACGTGTATGTGAGGGACCAGGTTGGTGGACCTACTGGTAATATATAAGGTAGTAAAATTGGTGGACCTACTGATAATGTACCTAAGAGACCTATGAGGATTAACACAGAGGAGTTATGATCTGGGTAGCATAGTTAGACCTATTGATAGACGGATTTGATGGACCTACGGGTCATGTATGTGAAAGACCTACTTGTAATATATTTGATTGGCATGTGGAAGAGAGATAGATAGGCCTACTCGCGAGGTACACGCGGGGAAAATACTTAGACTTTATGGGTAGCAAGATAACCGTCGGGCATGCCCTCATGCAGTTTGGGCGTTGAGACTGGGAGGGTAAAGCTTTTTCAATAATCCAATGATTTAATATAAATAGGTGAGAGGTATGAATAGTAAAATGTCAATCACATGCACTCTAAGCTTACAATACAATTACATTCAACTTACCATAACCCTTCACTAACTTGATCGTCGAAAGTTTTACGCCGGGAACACTTCTTGATATGTTTTGCAGGTTTTCAAGGAGCAAATTGGTTAAAGGGCCAATGGAAGACTAATTCGAGGTGCAACAACACACAGAGTCCTAGAAATTTGTAGTAATTGAATTATGTGATAAATGACCCTTGTATAAAGAAAGAATAAAATCTTTGTCTTGCAAAGTATAGGATTTCAAATATGATCGCTAAAGTTACTACTTCCTACTTGAGCACCGAAAAAAACTTGTTTGGGAGCATATCTAGAAAAGTCCATTTCGTTAGATGGACTTATACAAAAAGGAATTCTCCAAAAGTCCACATTCTTTACTTTTATAAAATTGACTTCTTGGAGAAACAACTTATTTATAAGTCTATTTTTTATTTAACACCAAACATAAATATTTATTCAAGTGGACTTACATCTAAAAGTCCATTTAAGAAGTGTTTCCAAACAAGCTCTCTATCACTCGAATTTTTTTAATTATAATAATAATAATAAAAAAAAATTATAATGTATAATTGTCTACGTTTGCTAGCTCTATTTTAATCCTTTTTTTTATTATCTTTATTCATTTTTTTTTATTTTTTTTTCCAGTTTTCCTTTTGGCATCTTCGTTGTCCTTCCTACTCCGGTCAATTTCCATCTCCATTTAACAGAAAAGTATAAGTAAACTAAGAGTTTTTTTTTTTTTTTTTTTGAGCCTTGACCATTCAAACTCTACTACATGTTGATATATTGAAAAGAAAGTTTTTTTTCCAGTCACCGACTTAGACCATTGTTAAATTGTAATACTCATAATAGGATACACATATGGTCAAAATTTATTCGATTTAATTTTAACATAATATTTTATGAGCAGAATAAGTATGAATAAATTCACAAAACAAATAACAAATCCAAATAATTATGAATTATCTATGAATATATTTGTTCAACGAAAAGAGTTTCTCGCGAGAGCTCGACTCTACTCAGCAAGACTTTTGGCGAATAAGCCGAGTTTCAACTCTATGGCTGCTAGTTTAGCTAACAAGTTGAGTCAGACTCGACTCGTTGGACTTTCTAAATAGGGACTATTATGAAGTGTCCAAACTTTTTCTTCTCTTTTAAGTCGAGCTACTTGAAGGCACCCCCTGCTTTACTCGTTTACACACATATTGTTACTACTTCATCAATAAAATAGATTATTGTATGAGACATTTTAATTATTAGATGGGTTTATACATCTTTTTTTTTAATAAAAATATAGAGTATACTATAATAAGCTAACACAATTTTATTGGCATTAACTTTTCAAGTACGCGTTTAAATATTAACTTATATATATTAAGTTAATTCACTATATATCAACTTGTGTGTGTGTGTGTGTGTAAAGAAGGAAAAAATTTAATTCCCGCTCGTTTATAGGGTAAATTATGTCAAAACCCGTTACAACTAATATTAATTGAGTGATGATTATATTTATATAACAATTTTATCATATAATAGTTATTATTAAAACTAACTAAATATATTTTACACTAAATGGCATATGAAAGTTACTTAAGCATACAAAAAATTATACTCTAAAACTTTTTTTTTTCAATTTATTTATTCTAAAAGCAATATTGATTTTTTTTATCTCATGAATCAATTATTTTTAATAAACTAATTGATTTTAATGGTATAGTGAAACCTATTAAAATTTGCATAAATAGTTATTACAATTATAAATTTCATATTTTTTTAGCTAATTGATTTATCATGATTTCTCAAAATTATCAATATTACATTAACCAAAATATTTTACTCAACCAATACAATGGTCCATGTGCAATCAAATAGTTTTGTACTATTTATTTTTACTAATGTTCAAAAGCTTAAATATAATACTATTATAGAAATTATGATGTTATATGCATAATATAGCTTATAATGATGTTATATGCATAATCTAGCTTATAATGATTTATTTAAATTTGCACAAATAATAATAATAATATTAATTAAATTAATAATAATAATAATTATTATTATTATTATTAGGGGAAATGCAGCAGTCCCGTTATCGGTTGGGACCAATTTGGAATACCTCCCATCCCAAATGCGCGAGTGGCCTTTCTGTCCTATACTCGCGCGTGAGGCCAACCACAATAATGTCGCAATTAATTTGACAAGTAGGTTTACCGGGAAAATTCAGTGATACACACAGAGCCAATTCACTCTCCCCCACTCTCTCTTTTAAACGCCCTTTCCCCAACACTTACAGTGCGCTATCCCTTAACTTTCTCTCTCTAACTCAATACTGAGTCGTACAAACTCGCCGAGCTTCTGACTCACTACTCAATCGCTGCAATGGAGGTCGAGCGAGCTCACATGCCTTCCAGTTTCGACCTCACTTCCGGCAACATTCCCGCCTTTTCGTTTCCCGAGGTGTCCGCGCCGTTGAAAGCGACTGATGGAGTATCCGAGAACGGCGGCGAGCGGGTGACCGCGGCTTCTCCGGAGACTCCAGCCGCCTCTCTCGTCAGGTGCCCGTCTACTGCGGCGATGAAGCTTCAGAAGGTTTATCGGAGCTATCGGACCCGGCGCATGTTAGCAGACTCCGCCGTGGTTGCTGAAGAACTGTGGTAATTTTGACCAAATATCTGCTGCTTCGAATTTTTTTAATCAATCCTTCGTTGCATAAATTCGACGATGATGAAATCGTAGAAACACAGAATGATTATACGCTTGCTCAGAGTGTTTTTATTTTTTTTCCTTCAATTATTTTGGGATTTACAGTGACATTCATGCAGAAAGTGCAAACTCTAATTTTATATTCGTTTTTACCTCTATAAATTCCTTTTTGTTGGCTTTTGTAGCTTTTTCCTCACTTTTTCTTCACTTTTTTTTTTCCGATTCTGAAAATTAAGGTGGCGAGCGCTGGATTTTGCGAGGCTAAATCACAGTACGATCTCTTTTTTCAACTTCCTGAAGCCGGAGACGGCGGCGTCTCGGTGGAATCGAGTCAGATTGAATGCTTCCAAGGTATGTGTTTTTAGCATTTTTTAACTCTACTGTTACTAATTGACTAGAAACTGGAAAATGAAAAAGAATGAGAGAAGTTAGATTTGATGCGGTGAAATCAGCAATGGTGGATTTTTTCTTTAGTTTTTTACTATTGTTATATGTGGACAGGTGGGCAAGGGTCTTTCTAAGGATGCCAAAGCACAAAAGTTAGCCTTCCAGCACTGGATTGAAGCTGTGAGAATCAAATAATTTATTGAAATAGTATTCAAGTCTGAATACTGAGATTGGTTGTGAATTCTGATTGTAAATTTCGGGAATCTGATTTTGGTTGTCGGGTATTTGAACTAGATCGATCCAAGGCACCGTTATGGCCACAGCTTGCATATTTACTACGAGGAGTGGTGTAAAACTAGCGCTGGCCAACCTTTCTTCTACTGGTAAGAAAATATGAGCTTACATATTGGTTTGGGAAAATGCTATGGTCTCGTTACGGTATCATCCCGTTGGGTGTGTTAACCGTTGGATCATCTATCTTATGCTAACTACATGTGTATCCAACGGTTAAAACACTCGACGGGATGGTATCGTAAGAGGACCGTAGCATTTCCCATTGGTTTGTTGAGTGTTTCTGTTGTTCTTGAGCCATTACCAGATACTGTTAATAATATCTTTGTTTCTTTGTATATGGAGGTCATTCGTGTTGGTTATGTGGAATCCACTCTAGCATGTGCAATACGAAGTATTCTATTGAATATGATTATATGGAATACTATTTCCTTGATGAAAAGAAAAAAAATATCACTAGAAGAAGCTGGTTCATAAATTTTCCTAAAAGAGTACAGTTCATTTGAAAGAAATTACAAGTTGATGAATATGTCAGATGTGACATTCTGAAGTGCCATTCTTATCTTTAATGGTTGGTAGGGATGTTTGTCATCTTGTGAAGACATAGGTGTATGGCACAAAAAAATTCAAATTTATTTATCAGTTTGCTGGAATGTGGACTGAAGCAGAGAACATATTATGACCTTGGGGTTATAATTTTTGCAGGTTGGATCTTGGAGATGGCAAAGAGGTGGATCTAAAAGAGTGCCCGAGATCAAAGCTTCGCCAACAGTGCATCAAGTACCTCGGCCCAGTATGTTCAAAGTTTCATCAACTAACTAAAAAACATAAAAATGAAAATAAAACTATGATTATCCATGTGCAAAGGCCGTACTTCATTCGATACTTATTTGCTTACTATTATTGAAGTTAGCAATTACCAATAAGCATTTGGTTAGTGCTTACTACTCACTGTCTACCAATACAATCTTTATATTTGTGTTTTAGAGTATTATTAATTGCTTTCATATTTTCTCTTTTCAGAAAGAGAGAGATCATTATGAATACTATGTCGTTGATGGGAAACTTCTGCATAAATTAACTGGGGAACCTCTAGATACAAGCAAAGGATCTCCAGGATCAAAATGGATTTTTGTGATGAGCACCTCTAAGAAACTCTACTCAGGAGAGGTAAAAGCACCAATGGATTATAAAGAATAGTATGATCTATCTCATTAGCACCCACTACTTGTAATGATTTTATAACATATTACATGTCATTTCCTTCAGAAAAAGAAAGGATTATTCCACCATTCAAGCTTTCTTGCTGGAGGTGCTACTTTAGCTGCCGGAAGGCTAATTGTCGAGGATGGAGTGCTTAAAGTATTGTTTGATACACCAATTTGCCTACAAAGAGACAAATTTTCCATATTGGCATCTTACTCTGAATTTATGTGCATTTTCTAATGATCTTGATCTAATACTACTGCGCGTTAATATTTTCCAGAGCATCTCAGCTTACAGTGGGCACTATAAGCCAACAGATGACAGCCTTGACACCTTTTTATTATTTCTCAAGGAAAATGGAGTTGATCTGGATAAAGTGGAGGTATATAGTACTCTGTTTGTCTTAGTTTTCTCTTATCAGTCTCGATCAATGATATATACTTTATAATCAGGTCTAGGCTTGATTGCTTGGTTGCTATACTTTTGCATTACATATTTCCTTGCTGCGAGTTATATATGCATTTCCTCAAAAAATTAATTTCGAAGATTACATGAGTTGGTGGATAAAATTGCAAGCCAACAAGATGTGCTGTATACATACTTTACCCAAAGGCGCTAAACATGACCGTATATAGGAACTAACACAAGTAGATTGTTTCTTGTGTATTTTTGTCATTTACTTGAAGAAAAATAGAGGCTAAGTTATACCCATTTGTCTTAATTTATCAAGATACGCAAGGCAAATGATGATTACGAGACCAACGAGAGCGAGAAAGTGTCGAGCTCGGATTCAATCCCGAGCAACCTATCCCAAGAGGACGAGCTTCCTTCCGAAACAACCGAGCAAGCCTCCAACCCAGAAAATAAGACCGAGTACCAGAGATCTCTCTCGGGTGGCCTCCAGAGCCCCAAAGCAGACGTGCCCAAGAAAGCCATACTTGAAAGGATTAATTCCAAAAAGGCTGCGAGTTCGTATCAGCTGGGCCATCAGCTCTCGGCCCGGTGGTCCACAGGGGCAGGCCCAAGAATCGGCTGTGTGGCAGACTATCCGGTGGAACTGAGGCTCCAGGCCTTGGAATTCACGAACCTCTCCCCAAGGACGGGCAGCCGCCCGACGTTGCTCACACCCAAAAGGAGTGGGGCTCTTGTTTCGCAGTCTTCTTGCCCGGCGGGCTTGGGCCATGATGATTTGGAAGCACTTTGAGGTTCAAAAGGGGGATTAAAGCTGTAGTCTCTTTTCATTTTCTAGTTATGGGACAGAGTAAGATGGAAGTATGAAGTATGCATGTAATTTTGAGAGTCATCTATGTTAGTTGTTTTTTTTTAATGATTTTAAACTTCTTTATTTTTTCCTTATTTGGGGCTCGGGCATTCTACTTCACGTACCTACTAGTATCAGGTATTCCATTTTTAGCCCCACTTTTATGAACAGATTCGGGTAGAAGTGAGACAAGACATTATCTCAAATAGACTTAGTATCATTCAGGATTGGGACAAAACCGGTTTAGAACCATGCTTATTTATCAATGAATGGTTATTAAATTATTTTGGAATAGGTAGACTAAACCACAAGTTATTCCTAAAAAGGATAGATGTAGTCCAAACTTTCACAAAAACTCAAGATTATTTGTACATTTATTCATGGATACATATCTAATATTAATATGTTACTGATGGGAAATGCTACATTCCCGTTACGGAACCATTTCGTCGGGATTTGTAATCGTCGTGGATAGTTAATCTAACGGTTATAAACTTAGACGGAATGGTTCCGTAACGGGACCGTAGAATCTTCAGTTATTTATATAATTATTTTGTCTGAATGTGTGTTACAAAACCAACACTTCTTCACGTTCTTAAATGAACAGAAAAGGTTAAGGAGATAAGAATTCACTGATTCACACATTGTTTTTGTCTTGTTGATTTATTCCCTAAAACTCATTTCTCGTCACCGGACCAAATTCTTAGCACGAGTGGAATTAAATAGGAATCAAATTTTTATACAAAAAAGATATAAGAGAAAATAAAGAAAAAATAAAAGAAAAAAAAGACATATGCTAAATATTGTCGTTGCCACTCAAAAAGTTAAGCACAAATTCTTGTATATGAAAACACGATAATACTCGGGACGCAAATTCTTATTTTATAGAGTATGATATTTAAGTTTAACGTTAGAAAAAAATAGCTAATTATTAGGTCTCCCTATATGTAGCCTTACTCAATTCCGAACTATATATACCCCCATTGTAATCAGTGTTCTAAAAGTCGCTAGACGTTCTACCAGCGCCAAGCGTTTATAGCGCCTAGTCGGGGCCTAAAAATCAATATTATAAACATTATCTCTTATACATTCTAGCTACCTACAAAATAAAATTATTTCAACTTATAATAAATTCACACACATAAATCCAAATAATAATATTAATATATTTTAAATAAAATATGTGAACAAAATAATGTAATAGTATTTAAAAAAAATGTAAAATTGTTGCCGAGTCCCCTAAATCCGTCTGCCCGCCTAATCGCTGCCTAAACGCCTGGTCACCGAGCCCACCAGCCGCCTGGCCAATTTTTTTGGTCGATTTGTGCATATCGGATGCTATCGGACATTGTCTAGCGCCTAGACCGATTTTTAGAACAGTGATTATAATTAATATTCCAAAATAATTTCATTAGACACACAATGATTCAGTTGATCAATTTGTTATAAAGTAACTGAATTATGATGTAGGTTATTATGAAGCATGATCTAAAGGACTAAAAAATGACTATATATAGGATTGTGTGCTATATATAGAATGATACTCTTTGTTTCTCGCCCACAATCCATAAACGATAAATATTTAGATGCGATTAATCGAATCCGAAGGTGGAATAATTTTTTGAAATATGATGTGTGAATTGAGTTTGGCCAATGATGTTGCTATACTTGGATGAGAGAAGAAGGATAGAACCGTCTTTTGGAATAAAGAGAAGAAAAAAGAAGGAAAAGCCCACACGACTGGGCCCAATGTAGAGCATTCGGACCGGATCCAGTTGCTGCTTTATGAATTTTCTCTTATGAATATGCCCTTGTTAATAAATCTTATTAGACTTTACCTATAAATTTTTTATACATTTACTAAGTTTTTATTTTCAATTAAAACTATAATTTCATGGTTTGTGAAAGTTTGATTTCAGTATTATTATTGTCATTGATTTTTGAATTGTATTATTTATTTTAGTTTATAAATGATTTATGCATGCTTTATTTTTCAATATCATATTTTTGCAACATTTTTTTTTTTTTTTTT